AAAAGGGAGAAAAAGAAAGAAAGAAAGAAAGAAAATAATTAAAATTAAAAAATTTTTTTAATTATTAAAATTTAAAAAACTTAAAAAGTAATAAAAAAAGAAAAGAAATGAGCAACCAAACCAACAAACAATTCCAACAATGATAGCAAGCACTAAAAAAAAGGACAGATAGAACCTTAGGACAAATGGTAAAAGAAAACCTATACAGAGAAAATCACACAAAGAAGCATACTTATACACACTTGCAAAAAGAGAAAAAAGCAAAAAATATATATATTATATATATAAAATAAAGGAAGAGAGCAACCAAATCAATAAACAAATCTACTAATTATAGTAGGCATAAAACCAGAAAAAAATTAGATGCAAAAAGCAAACCCCAAGTTTACAGTTGCTCCCAATGTCCACCTCCTCAATTTGGGATGATTCGTTGTCTATTCAGGTATTCCACAGATGCAGGTACATCAGGTTGACTCTGGAGATTTAATCCACTGCTCCTAAGGCTGCTGGGAGAAATTTCCCTTTCTCTTCTTTGTTCGCACAGCTCCTGGGGTTCAGCTTTGGATTTGGCCCCCGCCTCTGCGTGTAGGTCGCCTGAGGGCGTCTGTTCTTCGCTCAGACAGGACGGGGTTAAAGGAGCAGCTGATTCGGGGGCTCTGGCTCACTCAGGCCTTGGGGAGGGAGGGGCACAGAGTGTGGGGCGAGCCTGCGGCGGCAGAGGTCACCATGAGGTTGCACCAGCCTGAGGCGCGGCGTGTGTTCTCCCGGGGAAGTTGTCCCTGTGTCACAGGACCCTGGCAGTGGCGGGCTGCACAGGCTCCCAGCAGGGGAGCTTCTTGGTGGCGGCAGCAGCAGCCTTAGCGTCTCATGCCCGTCTCCGAGGTCCGCGCTGATCGCAGAGGCTCGCGCCCATCTCTGGAGCTCCTTTAAGCGGAGCTCTTAATCCCCTCTCCTCGCTCACCAGGAAACAAAGAGGAAAGAAAAGTCTCTTGCCTCTTCGGCAGCTCCAGACTTTTTCCCGGACCCCCTCCCGGCTAGCCGTGGTGCACTAGCCCCCTTCAGGCTGTGTTCACGCTGCCAACCCCAGTCCTCTCCCTGGGATCCGACCTCCGAAGCCCAAGCCTCAGCTCCCAACCCCCGCCCGCCCCGGCGGGTGAGCAGACAAGCCTCTCGGGCTGGTGAGCGCCGGTCGGCACCGATCCTCCGTGCGGGAATCTCCCCACTTTGCCCTCCGCACCCCTGTTGCTGCGCTCTCCTCCGTGGTTCCGAAGCTTCCCACCCCCAGCCCCCCCGGCCACCCACAGTCTCCGCCCACGAAGGGGCTTCCTAGTGTGTGGAAACCTTTCCTCCTTCATAGCTTCCTCCCAGAGGTGCAGGTCCCGTCCCTATCCTTTTGTCTCTGTTTATCCTTTTTTCTTCTGCCCTACCCAGGTACGTGGGGTGTTTCTTGCCTTTTGGGAGGTCCGAGATCTTCTGCCAGCGTTCAGTAGGTGTTCTGTAGGAGTTGTTCCACACGTAGATGCATTTTTGATGTACATGTGGGGAGGAAGGTGATCTCCACGTCTTATTCCTCCGCCATCTTAGAGTCCCCCCCGGAATCATTTTTGATTCTTTCATGTCTTGACCCCTTTGTGTAGTATTAGGCACATATGGATTAAATGTCTAAAATGCCCTGCACACCCCCACGACCTCACCCCAGTGCAGACCGTCATTGGTTCCATCACAGGTTATCAGAATAGGTATCCAGATTGACTTACACTCCTCATCTCCCCACCCAGTAGACCATTACTACCTATCACTGCCAGAGTTTTCTTTCTACGATTCTGCTGGAAAAATCACTCCACCTGGCTCCCCATAGCCTGTTCAATTATGTATAGCCTCATTCAGTGCCTTTGATAACCTGTCTCCAACCTAACATTCCTTAGCAATTTCTGACTTCACCCTTACATTTATCCTACATGCAGTACCAAATTTAATCACTTCCTTTCTGTAGTTTCCGGAGCCTCTGCCTTTCTTTATACCCTTCCATCCACATGGTGGCCTTTTCCAACCTCAAGGCCACCATATCCATCCATCCAAGTCCTACCCATTTTCCAAGATCCAGATCACATACCACCTCCTCCGTGAAGTCTTCTCTGAGTGATCCAGTGAGATGTGACTTCTGCCTCTCTAAGCTATTAGATCCCCATTATTCATATTATATAACAACTAATCATATTTGGTATAGTTTCACGGTATTTATGTAAATGTCTCATCTTTGTTATCTCTTTAATCTCTTAGAGCAGATATTTTGTCCTACCATCTGTCATCTGCAAAGTCTGACACAATGTTTTGTGCAAAGTAGAAGTGTTTATATAGTCGATAATGGTAAAACAATGATGAGCAGTGAGAAAACCTTGAGTATAAACATTCCATAGTTTAAATCCTGTGCCTACAAAATTTTTCCTTGTTTAATGGAATTTAGCAGTGCTAAGAATGTTATTAAGGATTGCAGTCTCAGTCAAAGAACTGAAGAGAAGAAACAGAAGTGACACTTAGCTCTTTGCTGAAAACTCATGGGCAAAGTAGTAGCTCTAGATCCAGACAGAGATAGTCGAAAGTATCCTGAATGTTTTCATTTCTTTGTTGTCTAAGTGCCTAGATCTCTAATTTTATTTAATTATTTTTGTTTGAGGTAATATTCTATTTTTAATAGGGATTGGACAGTTTTTTGGACTGGATAGATTTTTGGTGGGTGTTTAAGGGAGAGATAGGTGAGCGATGCTGAAGGGCACTTATGGTTTGGCGCAAGTCCAACAAAAACAGTGAGAGCTGCAGTTAGTTTAACTTTCCTGTCCCCTCTCCCTCACCAGGATGCACGAATTCTATAGCCAGATACGTTCTTCATGGGGAGAAGCTGTTGCTTTGACGTGGGCCAGGGGAAATGTCTTTTGCATCGATAGCTGAGAATCGTTACTGTGGACTGTCTAGAGGGATGAGACATAGCTGTATTTATCTTAGTTGCTTTGTAATACTTCTTTGAAAAATGAACTCTTACTTCTATCTGACTAAGAGCATTTAATTTATTGTAAATGCAATGGTGAAATTTAATATCCAAAGCTTTCATCAATTTAAGGCCATTTTGAAAGCTCAACTCCTTTGTTCAGAATGCAGCCCCCATTTCACTTAATTTCCCACAGAGTGTCTTCTCATGATTTATGTTAATTTTCTCGTGGAAGCCCAAATCCTGATCTTATCATTGTGACTCACCAGTCAGAAAGGTCTAGGGCTAAAATTAACAGAGTTTGCTCTCTCCCTTGGGGACATGGAACAGATTTGTAGCCTCAGTGTTGGAAGGTAGAATTTCAAATAAGAAATGACAATGCAGCATTGTGTCAGGGCACTGGGTAGTGTTTGTCCCACACAAGGATAGAACGTTAATCCATTTTTTGTCAGGGTCAGCAACTTTCACATTTCTATATTTATTCTCAGCCTTCAATTCTTCCATTGAATATGCAACATTACTTGAAACGATTCATCTCTGTGATGGCTGTTGATTGAATGAGTTTTTCAGATCCCTGAGAGAGCTGTTCCAGTAGTTATTCTGGTGATCTGCTATGCCAGGCATCTTCTAAGCACATTACTGACTCAACGACCATAGCTCTGTAAGGCTGAGCCAAAGTCTTGGTGTCTCTAAATTCAGTTTAAAAAATAAATATAATAAGCATTTTTAAGTGAAAAAATTAATATTGACTGGAAGCTGTTTACTATAATTGCCAAAATTAATTGAGAGTTTATGACATGCCAGGTATAATCCTAATCACCTTCTATTCATTAACTTATTGGTTCTTTTCTGAGGTAGGTACAATTAGTATTCTTATTTTACAGATGAAAATAATTGAGGGAGCAAGAGGTTAGGTAACTCACCCAGAGTCACCAACTAATAAATGGTGAATCCCTGACTAGAATCCAGGTATCCCTGACTTGGGAACCTGAATGTCTAACTACCAAGTTACTTGGCCTCATGGCCTCCTGGTCAACATCAGTGATGACCTGAGAAGAAAGAGGAACATTCAGGAAGTGTGAAAAATATGTGAGGCTAGAGCAGGAAGAAGGGAAAACCAAGACTTGTGAACTGGAAAACTGGGTGGGGAAGGCAAGAGAAATGGGGGTGAAGTGGGTGGATAGAAGGGTTGAGGAGAGGATATATTGTGAGGAGCAAACAGAAATGAAAAACCACTGCGGCTGCCTTCCTTGGGGATAAGGCTGAGCTCCTGTGGTTCTAAGGAATATTCCAGAATCTGGGGGGTTAGCTTAAAGAAGTAGCTCCTGAAGAAGCAGTCAGTAGAGTCTTTACAGTTCTCAAGTATGGAAAGAGGAGAGCAAGTGTAGCTGAACTGGAATAAGGGAGAGTAGAATTCAAGAGAGAAGCCAGACTTACTGATAAATGAGTGTTTTCCAATAGCTGCTTTGTGCAAGTACATTATGCAAAGAGAGAATCTATAATTAGTCAACATACCTGTATTTGTTGATTCAAGTAAAACCTGTATTAAGCATCTACTGTGTGAAAAACCCCGTATTAAACACTGAAGAGGATCCAATATAAAATACATTTCAAAATTTTAAGTGGTGTGTGTGTGTGTGTGTGTGTGTGTCTGTGTGTGTGTGTGTGGGTGTGTCTCTATGTACACTAGTATCGGTAGAAGCAAGGACTTTAACATGAGACGAGTGTATGATTACTATATTACAAAGTATAGCAATGTAGGTACCGTAAAGGAGATACAAAAATCCAAAACGCTGCAAGGCTTCCAAAAATGTAGGGGACTCTATTCAGTTAAAGGACTGGGAAAGATTTCTTGGCGAAAGGGGTGTTTGAGGAGAGCTTTGAAAGATAGAGAGGATTTTCGTGGATGATAAATGTGGGACATACATTGAACTTCAGAGAACTCAGGAATAGTTGTTTTAAGCTGAATCTGCCCCAGGATTTTACTAATGTAAGATATTCTTTTCTCTCCCCAAAGTGAAGAATTAGATAATCTCATCAAAATGAACAAAAGCTTGAATAGGTAAGATTTTAAAACATCTATTTTTTCGCTTTATTACTGAATTTGCTTTGTTATTTTTCAGTATTTGAGCATGAGGACTCATATACTGGGCTAGTCAAAAGCGTCCTACAAATCTTGAATAAAAAGCTTGCAGAAATTGTTCCATCATTATTATAAATGGTTATTACAATTTAAAGACACTAATATTGAAGTGTCTTTGATTTTCACACACCAGTGTTTAGTAAGGCAGTTATAAAAATAACCACATTTCTCTTCCTGAAATACTAATATATTAGTATGTAAACAATTTGGCTTGGTCACTGAATGCTTGTAGTTGAACCACTACAAAAGCCACTCATTTTCTTAGTTAACATTATCTTCTTATTATGAGTCATTTGTAACTGCATAACTTAAAGATCATATTAATTGAGGTTTGTGTTAGAGTTCTGTGCAATTTTAGTTCTCTCTCTGTTACTTGGCACACTAACATACAAAACGGGCAGGGACCAAAGTGAAGAAGAAACAAAGCAAATGTCAGTTTTCTTATCTATAAAGAGAGGAGGCATTAGATTAAGAATCAGACTTCATGGCCTACTGGGACCAGGCAGGGATAGATGAGTGAAGGGAGCTGGCTCTGTAACGTAGAGGGAGCGCCCTGACCGGGAGAGCCCAGCTGTTTCTCAGCTCCAGCTGATGTTGCCACGTGAGAATTTGAGCCTACAATTGCAGGACACTTTCAGGAGATCCTGAAACTCCAGGTGTCTACACGTGATGGCCAGCTTTGTAAATACTGGTCCACATAAAAAACAAAAACACTCCATGAACCCAAACAACACATCCATGAACCTATTACAGCTTGTAGATCCCCAGTCTGTATCTTGTCTTTTCTCTTCTTTAAGGTCCACTGCAATTTAAATTTTGAGTCTAGGAAGATACCCGTTTGGAATAAAGTGATTTCAAGAATTGTAGCTCATCTCTCCTAACCAGCTATTTTTCCTGTCTTAGATGTAAACTGATCTATGTTTTTATGAGTTAAGTATCCCTTATTAGCACTGATGAGACTTTTTGTTCAACACATTTAAAGAAATAAGGGTACTGAAGGTCTCTTTAGAGCAAATCTTAACGCAGAGCCAACAGAGAGTGTGTAAGTGTGTCTGTCTCTAACCTGAAAATATTATCTCCCAGATTGCTTGTTTTATTCTTTCAGACATTATTAGCTGGAAGGGAGTTATGTCCTCTGGCATAAAAATGTACTAGCAGATGGGGCAGTGCACTCAGTATTGTACATTTAGTTCGGACATGATTGCCCAGAAGGATTTCTGCTGCTCTATTCAGTAAGAGTAAATGAGCAATTCATGAAAAATTTTTACTGTATCTGACCTTTCAAGATACCACACAATTTTATTTCAATATGCAGTCTTTTATTTGAATTTCTTTGTGTTTTATAGACCCCAAAGCCTTGAAAATCTCATTGTTGTGAATACCCAGACAGACAAAGATGGCAAAGGGTAAGATTTGTTTGAAACTCATACAGGCTTCTTTGATTGAGTCCTAAACTGTATGCCATTTCCTGGGGGAGACCCCCTGCTCAAGACAAAAGTCAGACAGGCTGGTGGAAGAGGCACTTTATCAGGGTCAGGAGATGGGTGGGTGTCTTGGTACTGGCTCTGCCACCAACATCAATCTGGGTGACCCTGGGCAAGTGGCTTAACCTCTGGAGACCTCTGTTTCCTCAGTCCATAAAATGAAGGGTATGATCTAGATGGTCTCTAAGTTCCCTTTTACATCTAAAAGTGAAAGAAATCAAACTGACCATTACAAGTAGTGAACAGTAGGCTGGTTTATGAACTAAATATGTTCACTATAGGACATTTTGATACTGGGAGCATAGCCCCTCACCACTGAAGTCTTTCTAAGGGACTAAGGCATTTTTCAGTCGGAATCTTGATTGAGTCACTTCATATGTATATCACTCAGATACACTTGTAAACCACTCAAGGTCAAAAGCCATGCTTTTATTTATTTTGTATCATAAAAAAGATTAATTAATGATCAGTAACCATTAATTTAAAGAGCATTTAAAGAGGTTAACTTATAGTTCTAGACTGACACTGATATACTAGAAAATGAATTACTACTGACATTATTTTTCATGTTGAAAGAAATCAAACTTTCGACAGTTTCATTAAAGAAAATCCCAGAACAATCAAGAATGAAAAAGGATAAAGATTTCTGAGGTCTCTACTACTTTTTCTCCAGATTGTCTGTTTATCTTGTATTCAGTGTGTCATTAGATTTGCCTTTTCCTAACATGGTGATTATTTCTATTGTCCTGGTTATCTTTAAAAACCATTGATCTGTGCCAAGCTGTGCACAGATGGGTATTCTAGCATTCCAAGTCAAACTCTACCGTATGCCTTCTTAACCCTCTCTGATGTAGAACACAACAAAGTCTATATAATGAAAAGTGTGGGCAATCACAAACTCCATTCAGACACTGAACACTTATTACCAACATATTACTATAATGTGAATGTGCAAACATTATTACAGGTGATTTTTTTTTCCAAATGGGGAACAGATGAAGTGGGAAAGCAGTCAGTTCTCTGTAAGTGGTTGTATGAGTTTTACAGGAAAAGATGAGATTTCAGATTTTTTAAGAAATGAACTTTGGAAAATGAAATTAAACATCCTCTAGAAGGAATCAATAGCAGAATAACTGGGGCAGAGGAACAGATAAGTGACCTGGAAGATAAAATAGTGGAAATAACTACCACAGAGCAGAATAAAGAAAAAAGAATGAAAAGAATTGAAGACAGTCTCAGAGACCTCTGGGACATCATTAAACGCACCAACATTCAAATTATAGGGATCCCAGAAGAAGAGAAAAAGAGAGGGACTGAGAAAATATTTAAAGACATTATAGTTGAAAACTCCTCTAATATGGGAAAGGAAATAGTCAATCAAATCCAGGAAGCACAGAGAGTCCCATACAGGATAAATCCAAAGAGAAACATGCCAACACACATATTAATCAAGCTATTAAAAATTGAATACAAAGAAAAAATATTAAAAGCAGCAAGGGAAAAACAACAAATAACATACAAGGGAATGCCCATGAGGTTAACAGCTGATCTTTCAGCAGAAACACTGCAAGCCAGGAGGGATTGGCAGGACATATTTAAAGTGATGAAAGGGAAAAACCTACAACCAAGATTACTCTACCCATCAAGGATCTCATTAAGATTCAATGGAGAAATTAAAACCTTCACAGACAAGCAAAAACTAAGAGAATTCAGCACCACCAAACCAGCTTTACAACAAATACTAAAGGAACTTCTCTAGGCAGGAAACACAAGAGAAGGGAAAGACCTACAATAACAAACCCAAAACAATTAAGAATATGGTAATAGGAACGTACATATTGATAATTACCTAAAATGTAAATGGTTTAAATGCTCCAACCAAAAGACATAGACTGGCTGAATGGATGCAAAAACAAGACCCATATATATGCTGTCTACAAGAGACCCACTTCAGACCTAGGGACACATACAGACAAAAGAGGGGATGAAAATGATACTCCATGCAAATGGAAATCAAAAGAAAGCTGGAGTAGCAATTCTCATAGCAGGCAAAATAGACTTTAAAATAAAGACTATTACAAGAGACAAAGAAGGATACTACATAATGATCAAGGGATCATTCCAAGAAGAAGATATAACAATTGTAAATATTTATGCACCCAACATAGGAGCACCTCAATACATAAGACAAATGCTAACAATCATAAAAGGGGAAATCGACAGTAACACAATCATAGTAGGGGACTTAACACCCCACTTTCACCAATGGACAGATCATCCAAAATGAAAATAAATAAGGAACCACAAGCTTTAAATGATACATTAAACAAGATGGACTTAATTGATATTTATAGGACATTCCATCCAAAAACAACAGAATACAATTTCTTCTCAAGCGCTCATGGAACATTCTCCAGGATAGATCATATCTTGGGTCACAAATCAAACCTTGGTAAATTTAAGAAAATTGAAATCGTATCAATTATCTTTTCCAACCACAATGCTATGAGACTAGATATCAATTACAGGAACAAATTTGTAAAAAATACAAATACATGGAGGGTAAACGATACACTACTAAATAACCAAGAGATCACTGAAGAAATCAAAGAGGATAAAAAAAATACCTAGAAACAAATGACAATGTAAACACAGCGACCCAAAACTTATAGGATGCAGCAAAAGCAGTTGTTAGAAGGAAGTTTATAGCAAAACAATCCTACCTTAAGAAACAAGAACCATCTCAAATAAACAACCTAACCGTACACTTAAAGTAATTAGAGAAAGAAGAACAATAAAACTCCAAAGTTATCAGAAGGAAGGAAATCATAAAGATCAGTTCAGAAATAAGTGAAAAAGAAATGAAGGAAACAATAGCAAAGATCAATAAAACTAAAAGCTGATTCTTTGAGAAGATAAACAAAATTGATAACCTATTAACCAGACTCATCAGGAAAAAAGGATCATACACCATGATCAAGTGAGGTTTATCTCAGGAATGCAAGAATTCCTCAACATACGCAAATCAATCAATGTGATACACCATATTAACAAATTGAAGGAGAAAAATCATATGATCATCTCAATAGATGCAGAGAAAGCTTTCGACAAAACTCAACACACATTTATCATAAAAACCCTCCAGAAAGTAGGCATAGAGGGAACTTACCTCAACATAATAAAGGCCATATATGACAGACCCACAGCCAACATTGTTCTCAATGGTAAAAAATGAAACCATTTCCACTTAGATCAGGAAGAAGACAAGGTTGCCCACTCTCACCAGTATTATTCAACATAGTTTTGGAAGTTTTAGCCATGGCAATCAGAGAAGAAAAAGTAATAAAAAGGAATCCATATCAGGAAAAAAGAAGTAAAACGGTCACTGTTTGCAGATGACATGATACTTTAGATAGAGAATTGTAAAGATGCTGCCAGAAACTACAGGAGCTAATCAATGACTTTGGTAAAGTAGCAGGATACAAAATTAATGCACAGAAATCTCTTTCATTCCTATACACTAATGATGAAAAATCTGAAAGAGAAATTAAGGAAACACTCCCCTTTACCACTGCAACAAAAAAGAATAAAATACCTAGGAATAAACCCACCTAAGGAGACAAAAGACCTATATGTAGAAAACTATAAGACTCTGATGAGAGAAATTAAAGATGATAGAAACAGATGGAGAAATATACCACGTTCTTGGATTGGAAGAGTCAACATTATGAAAATGACTATACTACCCAAAGCAATCTACAGATTCAATGCAATCCCTATCAAATTACCAATGGCAGTTTTCACAGAACTAGAACAAAATATTTCACAATGTGTATGGAAACACAAAAGACCCCGAATAGCCAAAGCAATCTTGAGAAAGAAAAACAGAGCTGGAGGAATAAGGCTCCCTGACTTCAGACTATAATGCAAAGCTACAGTAATGAAGACAGTATAGTACTGGGACAAAAACAGAAATATAGATCAATGGAACAGGATAGAAGGCCCAGAGATAAACCCACGCACATATGGTCACCTTATCTTTGATAAAGGAGGCAAGAGTATGCAATGGGGAAAAGACAGCCTCTTCAATAAGTGATGCAGGGAAAACTGGACAGCTACATGTAAAAGAATGAAATTAGAACACACTGTACACAAAAATAAACTCAAAATGGATTAAAGATCTAAATTTAAGGCCAGACACTATCAAACTCTCAGAGGAAAACACAGGCAGAACACTCTATGACATAAACCACAGCAAGATCCTTTTTGACCCACCTCCTAGAGAAATGGAAATAAAAACAAAAATAAACAAATGGGACTTAATGAAACTTAAAAGCTTTTGCAAAGCAAAGAAGACCATAAAAAAGATGAAAAGACAACCCTCACAATGGGAGAAAATATTTGCAAATGAAGCAACGGACAAAGGATTAATCTCCAAAATATACAAGCAGCTCATGCAGGTCAATAACAAGAAAACAAACAACCCAATCCAAAAATGGGCAGAAGACCTAAATAGACATTTCTCCAGAGAAGATATACAGTTTGCCAACAAACACATGAAAGGATGCTGAACATCACTAATCATTAGAGAAATGCAAATCAAAACTACAATGAGGTATCACCTCACACCAGTCAGAATGGCCATCATCAAAAAATCTACAAACAATAAATGCTGGAGAGGGTGTGGAGAAAAGGGAGCCCTCTTGCACTGTTGGTGGGAATGTAAATTGATACAGCCACTATGGAGAACAGTATGGAGTCTCCTTAAAAAATTAAAAATAGAACTACCATACGACCCAGCAATCCCACTACTGGGCATATATCTTGAGAAAACCATAATTGAAAAAGAGACATGTACTGCAATATTAATTGCAGCTCTATTTACAATAGCCAGGACATGGAAACAACCTAAGTGTTCATTGACAGATGAATGGATAAAGAAGATGTGGCATATATATACAATGTGATATTACTCGGCCATAAAAAGAAACGAAATTGAGTTATTTGTAGTGAGGTGGATGGACCTAGAGACTGTCATACAGAGTGAAGTAAGTCAGAAAGAGAGAAATAAATATCGTATGCTAACACATATAAATGGAATCTTAAAAAAAAAACAAAAAATGATTCTGAAGAACCTAGGGACAGGAATAAAGACACAGATTTAGAGAATGGACTTGAGGACACGGGGAGGGGGAAGTGTAAGGTGGGATGAAGTGAGAGAGTGGCATGGATTTATATATACTAACAAATGTAAAATAGATAGCTAGTGGGAAGCAGATGCATAGTACAGGGAGATTAGCTCTGTGCTTTGTGACCACCTAGAGGGGTGGGACAGGGAGGGTGGGAGGGAGACGCAAGAGGGAGGGGATATGGGGTATATGTATACGTACAGCTGATTCACTTTGTTATAAAGCAGAAACTAACACACCATTGTAAAGCAGTTATACTCCAATGAAGATGTTAAAAATAATATTAATTAATTAATTAAAAGATAAATAAATAACTGAAGTTTGGAAAGTTCCATACGAGTGGTGGAAGTTAGGAAAAGTGGGATGAACACCACAAGTCAATCGTGTGGGCTAGGAAGGAGAAAAGAGAAGGGGCTTGTAAGCTGGTATAACTTGGTAGCAGCTGGGCTTTGATGCAGAAAAGATGGGTCTGTTTGGTGTGGTAGGGAGAGCCCACAGTTTCTTTTCCCTCTTACCTGCCTGTCTCCCTTCCTTCTTCCTTATGCAGAAAGAACCTCAAATGTCAGCAGTCTTATCACAGTGAAAGACAGAGACAGATGAAAATGGCATTGAACAACCGGGGGATTTAGAGAGATTAGCTTTCATATTCCCTAATTGTTTTAAGCTATTGGTGTGTGAAAGTTTTATTGGTTGTGCTCAACTCATATAAAGTACTGGTGTCATCAAAGAGTTATTTCTACCTTTCCCAGGTTACTTTTTATTAAAAATGACTTGTCTAAATCTTCAGAATGTTTAGATTTAAAACGTTGATCATCTGATTTCCACCCTTGATGTGAATGATTTTCATGTTTAAGGAGGACAATATCTCAACACATGTATTAAAGTTCGTTTCTCACCAACCCACCCTCAAAGGACAAAGAAAGCAAAAGCTGAGATGTGGGGGGAACTTCTGCGTTTAAATTGATTTAATCATAACTGAGTAATGGTTGGGTCCTCACTGTAGGACAGTTAGCATATCAGCATTTGGCATGAGAAGAGCCACTTGAATTAAATATTTCTAAAGACTTCTGATGTTTCAGGTACTGATAATGTCTTACTGCTGTTGTGAAAAAACTGCTGTTGAATCTCTCTCTCTCTCTTTCTCTCTCCGTTGCTGTGCTCTCCCTGCCCCCTCCAATGTTATAAAGAAACCAAGGCCTTGGAAGTCTTATTAAAGTTAATCAAAGGACTGACAAAAACAAGAAAGGGTAAGTAAAGCTCCTAACATAATGGGGCTCTCTTCTTTCATGTTAGATTTTTACACCTTGTTGGAAACGGGAGTGTTATACTTTCCTCTGTCACAGTTGAACTGTTGCACTTTGGGGCCTATCAGAGATAGTAGTCAAAGAATATGATGAATCCTGTTTCCATAAGACCACATGCTTGAGTTGCACTGAAGTAGGTGCAGGAAAACTTACTGCATAATCTCTTATTCTATATTTTCTTAAATAATTTAACAATGAGGCAAATTTTCTATTTAAATTAAGAAATAGAAAGGACAAAATTGCAAAGTGAGAGGTGTGTTGGCGAAGATTTTTTAAACTGATTTAAACCAAGTACTACTGTGGAAATTAAAAAAGGCAAGCTAAGGGATAATTATATTGAAGTTTCTCTGGTCAGTTGGCCCTGGAAACATCTGACATCCTTTCAGGGACATTCTTATTTATATGGTTTTCAGAAAAAATTGAATGCAAGTTAATTGACATAAGGTCTCCATGTTTTTTCCAAAGAATCCAAGATCTCAAAACAGTTATCAAAGCAAATGCTAGGACAGATCAGACTAGCAGAGGGTGAGAACTGCTTTGATGTTTCTAAATCTTGCTTATTTTCTACTGGGTTAATTATGTGATCTTCTCAGTATACTGAAGGGGGTCACATCTTTGAGTTTGGCTTCTCTCTTCTGTGTCTGAACTCTACTGCCCTGAGCTTTACTTTGGAGAGTCTATCTAAATTTAAATTTACCTAGAGCCCAATAGAATCCTAGAGATTAACTTAACTGTATTATTTTTTTTAATTTTTTTTAATTTTTTTGTGGTACACGGGCCTCTCACTGCTGTGCCTCTCCCATTGCCGAGCACAGGCTCTGGATGCGCAGGCTCAGCGGCCATGGCTCACGGGCCCAGCCGCTCCGCGGCATGTGGGACCTTCCCGGACCGGGGTATGAACCCGTGTCCCCTGCATCGGCAGGCGGACTCTCAACCACTGCGCCACCAGGGAAACCCTTAACTATATTATTGATAGGTAACTTTCGTAACAAAAATGAATTTAATACCAGTATAATAATCTTCTCCAAAAGCTTGAATTAATCATCAATAATATGGAATGTGTATATAAAAAAATACTGTGAGAATACTTTGAAACTGATCTAAATTTTTTTAAAGAGGTGAAGACCTTGATAATGTTATCAAAGTGAATCCCAAAGAAAGTGAAAACACCACTGGGTAAGACTGATTAGTATCTTTAAATCTGATTTCTGTAAGTGACAATAAGATAAAATGATTTGGCATTTTAACTTTAGAAATATGTTTTACTGGCATGGAATTGGATAATAATGATAGGCCACATGACCTTCCCTCCTTGCTCCCAATAAAATTGCTTATTTTTGAAGAATTGCCCCAATGTTTAATAGTAAGTTGCCTTTTCTCCCAGATTTTGGTTTGGTTTTAGGGGTGAGTTACTGAATTGAATTTCTTTGCATCTAAAGAAAGCACAATCTTGACAATATTTTAAAAGTAGATCTCCAAAATGACAGAGATAGCCAAGAATGAGTGTTGACTAAAACTACTGAAAATCAACTTCTTTGAAGATGGTGGTCTCAGAAGGCAGCCCAGGGGAGGGGCTGGGCAGATACACACACTGGGAGGAAGGACATCCCACCACTTCTCTTCTTCAGGGCTATGTTGACAAGGCAGCAGTACTCAATCACGATACCTCTGCCATCCTCTACTGCCCACTTTGGGTTCGGGCTATGCCCCTTTTGGTATTACTCAGTGCATTTTAATGGAGGTGACAGGTGTCTCCCCAAGAAGTGTCATTAATTTTCCTACCATGTAAGGTATTTTTTCTTGCTCTTATAATTCACCATAATCTAATTATATTTTAAAAGGGGGAATGGTTGCGTTTATATGAAGACATATATTTTTAAAATTATTTTTCATATTGTTAAACTATTATCATCTTTTACATTATTCTTATTATTTAAAAACAGAATAGGCAATTATATCTGATTTGTTAGATGGAAATTTACATTCTATCTGGATCCAGTATAGAACTTTATCTAACTCAACATTACTTCAGTGCCACCCATCTGGGGTGTTCTAACAATATGTATCTGAGGGCAAAGCTGATTTTGTTAAATAACAAGTTTCACGTATACTTATACATTTTGAGAACAAAACAAAAACATCATATGTTTCTTGTTGGTAAATTAGGAAACTTAAATGGTCTGCAGCTCAAGATGTAAGAGAAGAATTTTCATTTGCAGTTAGAGCTTTAAAAATTACATTGATAGAGAACGTGTATACTTACCACTTCTTAATTTTGCCAATCATTGTTCACTTGATTAGTGTTTTATTTTAATGACATTCATTAAAACTCATTTCCTTATCCAAAGGAAACAAGACCTCAATGGGCTTATTAAAGAGAATCCTGAAACAAATAAAAATATCAAGAGGTAAGTAATTTAAAGCTTTTTATTTCTCCTTTGGCATTTATAAACACGTTGGAATTCTGAGTGCTTGCGTTCAGGAGAGCAAATTGAAATTCAAACCAAACTGAACTCTTTTTTTCCACATACGTCATATTAAGCAATTCTGTATGAGTGATACACAGAAGTGACCTCTTGCCTTTTATTCTCAGGTGACGTTTGCTATAAGGTAGATTTTGAGAAATTAAATGGGAATTTGACTTCCCTCCTCTACTATTTATTTCTTTGTGTGTAAGTGTGTGTGTGTGTGTGTGTGTGTGTGTGTGAGTCTGTATGTGTATGTGCATGTGTAAATAGTGTGTTACGTATAAATGTGTGTATATATTAGTGTATATGTATAAGTGTGTTGGTATAAGTGTATGTGTGTGTATTAATCAGGGTTCTCCAGAGAAACAGAACAATAGAATAGAGAGAGAGAGCGAGAGAAAGAGAGATTGATTATAAGGAATTGGCACATGCCCTTCTGGAGGCTAAGTCTCAAGACCTATCGTTGGCAAGCTGGAGACCCAAGAGAGACAATAGTAGTTCCAGTTCAAGTTTGAAGGCCTGAGGACCAAGAGAGCCCGTGGTTAAGTTCCAGTCCAAGGGCAATAGAACAAAGTCTTAGGTCAAGCAGTCAGGCAGGCAAAGTCTCTTCTTAACTCAGCATTTGGTTCTATTCAGTCTTTCAGCTGCTTGGCTATGGCCCACCCATGTTAGAGACGGCCATCTGCTTTACTCAGTCTACAGATTCACATGTTAATCTCATCCCAAAACACTCACAGACACACCTGGAATAATATTTGACCAAATATCTGGGCACTCTGGCCCAGTCAAACTGACACATGAAATTAACCATCACAATGCATATATATATATATATATATATATATATATATAAACGTATGTGTGTATGTATAAGTAGTGTGTGTGTATGTGTATGTGTATGTTTGCATAAATAGCATATATAAACAAGTCTATGTCTGTGGGAGTGTAAGTAGTGTGTGTGGATGTGTTTATGTACAAACTGTGTGTGTACATGTGTACTATGTTTGTGTGTAGTGTGGGTATGTGTATATAGTGCAGTGTATGTTTAAAGATGAAGAGCTTAACAAAGTGTACCTTGTAAACGAATTACCCTACCCATGAATTGTCAAGTAAATCTGGAAAGCTTATGTCCTCTTGCTTCTTTTTTTATTTTTTAAAAAACAGATGGAACATATCTGAAACTGAGCTTGTTGACGTGTTGCTGAAAAGTATACCAAATAATTCCATGTGGTTTCTTTTGAACTCCTTTCCATTCCATTCACTCAGTACATGTTATTATGCGTTGATTCTAAAATGTGTCACTGATGCCTGCAGGCCCTGTCAGCAGAGCCTGGCTGGCTGAAAGCTGGTGTGTGCTGTCAGGCCGTCCTGTTCTCAGCAGCAGTGTGGTTGCAGGCCCAGTGACCCTATGAGTTGCAGACGTGTACAATTTTGCAACCGACAGACTGAGAAGAGAGCACTGACTTCCTTGGCTACCTGGGCATTTCAGGGAGGTAACTTGAGGTTGGGAGCAGGGAGTCTAAAAGACCCTGGCTCTGTCACTTGCTAGCTGTGTCCCCATGCTTCAGTTTACTCACCTACAAAATAGGGATCATAATACTGTCATGCCTGGTACATAGTAGATACAAATGGTTTTAGCAATAATAAAGATTCACATGAATTATGTTTTCTTAATAATTTAGATTCTGTTCAAATATTTAATTTACTTTGACTCTCCAAGAAAAATTCATGTTTTTCCTTTCTAATTTTTAGTAAAAGGAGTATTTCAAATCATCACCTATTGTTTTTCATAGGTTGGGGTGTGCATGTGTGTGTGCCTATGTGTACACATGCAAAGGTGTGCATTCATGTGTGTATGCTTGTGTGCATTCATGTGTGTATGCCTATATGTGTGAGTGTATACGGGTATGTCTGTGCAAACAAGTGAAAATGTGTGTTTGATTGCGTACATGTGTACACATGCTTGTGTGTGCCTAAATATATGTGTGAGTATATCCGTGTGCTTTTGTGTGTATATGAGTACCTATGTTCATGGTTGTGTATGTGTGTGCTTCCTGGGACCTTTTAGGGACAGTAGTCATCTTTTTTTTTTCCTTTACCAAGCATAATTAAATTCTGTAGATCTCTTAAAAGTAAAATAAGATCATCTCCCTCCCTTATTAAAAACTTTCAATGTTCTCTTATTTCAGGTAGAATAAAGTTCTGAACTTTAGCGATGGCCTTTCACATGTTCAGTGAAGTCCAGCCAAACTGATCTTTTTTCTATTCCAGGCTCACTTCTGCCTTAACACTTCTGTGTATGCTATTCCCACTTTGGAAAGCTCTATTCCCATATTGTCACCTTCTCAAAGAGATCGTTTCTGACCATTGAATATAATTAAGTCACCACCCCCTCCTTCAACCCCAGCATTGCAGGCACCAGGCACTCTATTTTACTTTCTTCATAGCATATATTGTTATCTGGAAATGTGGCATTCATTTATACATTTGATTGCATATTGCCTGCCACTCATCAAGTTAGAATGGAAGCTTCTTGAGGGCTAAGCCCGTCTGTATTGTTCACAGCTATCCCATAACTTGGGGCCCATAGTAGGCTTTCCATATCTATTTGTGGATTGAAAGAATGCATAAATATTGAAGACATATACACTATGAGGCATTGCTTCCCACAGTTGAGCTCAAAATATTATTTTACATTACTACATTAAATAGCACACTCTTCTTTATTGACTATACGAACTTTAAAATTTAGGAAACCTTATACTGATATGTGCTCTATTTAATATATTTAAAGAGATCAAGGTCTTGACAACACAACCAACACAAATATTACAAGGGAGGAGTTACAGTGCTTAATGTTATGGGGTTTCTTTTTGAGTACTCAAATCTAGAAGCAGAATCCTGGGAATTTTTTTTCTCAGTCACTGGCATTCAAATTCCACATATTTCATTCAGGCAACAAGGGGTTAAAAAAATCAGCAAAGGGTATTGGTGTAGAATGGTTGTCTCTTTCAGGGTTAATAATTTCATTATTTGCATGAAAAAGGATCAGATTTTTTATTGCTGCTTTTAGCAGGGATGTACACATTCTCAGACATCTGCATACAAGTAAAAACTTGAGTCAACGTCTAGCTGCTTCCAAATATCTATACCTTTGATGTTGCATTGACGCAACCTCAGAGATTTCATGATCAGTCTTAGCAGGGCCACAGGGCTTGGGGATCCAGGGTGTAAAAGTGCCTTCTGTGGACGTTCTTTACCCATGTGGTATCCTCTGTAGATCAGAGGCACTTTGGCTGGCACTGTGAATGTGGAAAACACATGTAGAAGCAATAGGAAAAGCAAAATTCCATTAAAATCAGAAGCAGATATACTAAAGGGTAATCATAAATTACTGACGTGTTTTCACTGACTACACGGAGTTTTATATTATAGTAAATATAGCTTACGTTTCAGAACTTTATAGATTTTAATCTTCCTATTGTTTGTTGCCAACACAACTAGTCAAAATTTGTAGTTTTAACACACAGTTATAAGTACCAGCAGCAGATACCAGATTTGTATATCATGGACTTTAACAAATTGGTATACTTATCTAAATCCAGTGTTTAAATAGAAAATTTGCTAATGAATGTCAATTTTACAAAATATGTGTTCTCCAAAGTTCAGAAGTCCCACAGCATGTTGGAAGTTGATGGGTAGAGTTGTGTCTTGTGGAATGTTCCACGAAATGTGTATACAGACTATTACAAAATATGTTTAGTGCACCTGGAAAAGGCTAAGAGCATAGCATTCAATGAATCTAAATAGAGTCCTAGTTCAGTATTTGCTAGTGGCCCTAATGGCTCCAAGATTAAAATATTGTCTCACTGCATCTCAATGTGTTTCAGAGATATATAAATCCCTACGTACTTCTGCGTACCTTTAACAATCTTCAGCTCTTTGGCATGATCTCAGTGAGTGTTTATACTGTTCCTGAGTTTTAATGAATAGTTTTATCAACTTGGTTCTAGTCTATCATTAACCTCATCACATTTTCTATGCTTTAAAGGGGCCAGAGCCTTGAAAATCTCATCAAAGTGACCCCTGAAATAAACAGAAGTAACCCAGGGTGAGGATTATATCATATCTTTCTTCCTTCCCATCAATTTGTGCATCAAATTCTGCATCAATTTGTGGCTCTCATTAGAGAAGCTATGCTGAAAAATCTGTGGAGTCAGAAAGTCTGAGCTCCATTACTTACTGGCTGGGTGCCTTGGAGCAAGTCCCTCGAACACTGAGCTGAGGCTTCTTTAGTTATAAAATGAAGATTATAATGTCTGTTCCACCTTTGTCATTTGATTATTAAGGATCAAGTGCAATAATGGATATAAAATCCCTTTAAAGCAAAAAGGCACTACAAATGGAAATTATTAACAAAATATAGTTTAATTATAGCTATAGCATTATGTAGAATACTGAAAGGGGCTGGCCAGGTGAGAGTTTTCAGCAAATAGTTCCAGAATTGATCTTTTTAACTCAATCTTGCCCTAATTTTATGGTTTTATTTTGATTGTAAATGGGAAACTGAGCTAGTATACCAATGATTTGTATGGAGGTCAAAATTTTTACTCTTTTTTTTTTTTTGTGGTACGCGGGCCTCTCACTGTTCTGGCCTCTCCCGTTGCGGAGCACAGGCTCCGGACGTGCAGGCTTAGCGGCCATGGCTCACGGGCCCAGCCGCTCAGCGGCATGTGGGATCTTCCTGGACCTGGGCATGAACCCGTGTCCCCTGCATCGGCAGGCGGACTCTCAACCACTGCGCCACCAGGGAAGCCCTGCTTATTAATTTTTTAACACTATTTAATTGGACTGATGTGAGGATTAAATCATATAAATCACGTAAATCACTTAGAACAGTGCCTGGCACATCATGAACTTTCTGAAACCATTAATTATTGTTTATTATTTCTATGCAGTTATAGTTAGGTCCAAATATATATTTTCAGAGTCAACACTGAAAAACTCCAACCCCTTGAGATGATCTCTGTTTTAATAAATATTTTATAGTAAAATATTTCTATAATAAAAATGTTTCTCCATTTTAATAAATATTTGAAACCACTTGATGTGAGTTGACCATTTCTCTGATCATTTCTTCCATGTTTTAAAGGGGCCAAAGTCTTGACAATCTCATCAAAGTGGCTCCAGAAACAAACAGAACTAACCAAGGGTGAGGTTTATGGAACTTCTTTCTCCATTTTCTTCTATTCGACCTCGAAAATATGATAAAACTCATTGTCCCATCACAGAGATAGCCAATAATGGGACCCAAAATCGATACCTCTATGTCAGAAACCTAGTCTTCAAGTCCTTATTCAGGGCTCCCTGGTTGTGGATATTTGTGGAGGAATTCCTTAAAATATGGGAATAATCTCTTATCAGTGTGGGATTTGTGTTCCATGCTTAGGATTTCCTCACAATGAATCAAGTTTCCTCCTGGGATGAAATATCTTCCCCAAACAATTTCTTAGACATAAGCAGCCTAAGAGAAGGTCTTCATGTGAAGAAAATTCTCTTTCCTTTATCCATCATTTTTTGCCTCTTCTCTTATGTTTACACTCAAACAATTCCTAAAGTTGGGAGGTTATTTTTTTTTAATTATACTTAGTTTATTGAAATAATAAAGAATACAAAGAATGACATTTGTCTTTTATAGAGAGAATTTTCTTTAAGGTACATCGTGTTGAGTAAACAAAGAGATGTAAAAAAGTCACGAATCTATAAATATATATTGTTATGCTAGTTTGAATGCGAGTTAGATATGAAAGATACCAAGGTATATATTTTCTTTCTGACAGATATTCTATCTTACTTGGTGTATAGGAATTCTATTTTTACAGTAGGTAGATATCATATAAAGTTTATTAGACTAGATCAGGAGTCAGAAACTTTTGCTTAAAGGGCTAGGTAGTAAATATTTCAGGTTTGGGGGACCAAAACAGTCTGTATTTTAACTAGTCAACTAGCAACCATTGATAATACATCGTAAAGGAATGGGCATGGCTGTGTTCCAATAAAACTTTACTTATATAACAAGACTACAGGCTGAATTTAGCCTGAGGACCATAGTTTGCTGACTCCTGGACTAAACAGTATTTCATGCGGGTGAGTGAAGAGAATCAACTCTGAATGTACTTGGAACAGCTTCTGAAACAAAGGCTCCTTTGCATATCTTGTTTTATTCACTTTATGGTTGGACCAGAGATTTTATCATTCTTTTATCTGATTATTTAGTGCTAAATTGTCCTTAGATTTTGTTCACTAAATAAGAGCATAATGCATTGCCACTGACTGAGGGTCAGGTACTGAATCCAGAGACCATGAAATACTTCATGTTACAGATAAAAGGGTCAATGAAAGACAGCTATCCCTTGTCCCTCTTCCAAGATGACTTAGTTTGTAAAGTGAAGATGGCCTTAATGATATGATCTTTCCCGTGCAGTGTGTGAGCCTCGTTTCAGTACCCACCCTCTGCCATGTATTGCATTAGGTCATGTGTCCATCTCTTCTACTTAGTAGTGAAATTTTTGAGTTCAGAGAATACTTATTAGCTGTATAATCTTGGGCACATCATTTAAATTCCTTTAAGCCTCAGCTTCTTTATCTGTAAAGTGGGGATTGTAAGAATTACCTTCTTCATGAATTACCAGAAAAATTATATGCTAGCAAACTTATGAAGCCCTTATTCCTCAAGTACTTATTAGATATTATCTATTGGTATTATTATTACTGTTACTATTTTTCTTCATTTTTGGATCCCCATTGCACCACTCAATGCTTATTAGTTCAAAGAAGATACCAAAGAAATTATCTGTTAGGTTGAATTTTATGAAATTGTGACATTCAATAATTTTTGATCCACAAGAGGACAATTTCATATAGTTCAATATAATAGAATGCAGTAATTTACATGGAAGGATATGTACATGATAAAATTAGTTTGTAGGTTAATCCTAAAGATTAGTTCACGGACATAAGCCTTTCCAGTCTTTTTTCTTTTCAGGATGTATAACAAATTGTCCAATAATAAGGTATATCAAATTAGGCATCTTGTTCAGGCCTTCTGGTGTTAGAGTTGGTATGAAGGCCCAGTACGATAACAGAAATGTCTCTTTAGGGCTATTATTGCCTACTTGTTTAGAATAAAAGCAAGTTATATAATCTGAAGTCTTCCTTGTTCTGACTTAGCATTGCATGAAGCATGATTCTGAACTGCTTAATATCTTGGAGTAGCCTGAATGTTACATATTAATATTATGTATATTACCTCCATACCTTAGAATCAGGAAATAACCTCTTTTTAAAAAAGTCCCAGGTTTTTGTTTTGTTTTGTTTCAAGGGGAGGGAAGCAAGGAACACGTGCAAATGACGAACAGTTTATATTTTTCTCTTGTTCGTTACAATCTTCAAAAATATTCCTGGAAAACAAGGAGATTAAGAACAATTAAAATTTGAGGTTGTCTTAAAAGAAATAAGAATAAAACTAAATTAAATTTTCATATATAGGTAGTTGTGTAAGAAATGAATTGATAGTAGCCACCTGCTTTTACAGAGGGCCAAAAAAAAGGACTCAAGATGAAGTTTTGAATTAACAACAATCACTTGATTCAATATTAAGATTGAAAAAAAATGTACAAATTGTAAGTGATTTGACTTGATTTTACCCCCCTTATTGAAATTTACAACATTTCTTAGGAACCAGGACCTGAACAATCTTATCAAAGTGACTCCCTCAGCAAAAATAAGGTAAGCTTATTAAGATTATTGAAGACTCGTGAGCAAATCTTCAATTTATGCCCCAGAATAAGATTATTTGGCTAAGGACATTTGAAAGGGGACATGAAAAAAGTGAGAACAAATTGATTTGTTGTGTGTAATAATGGTAGATATTTTCTTTTATTGTGTTGCTTCAATTTATTACATTATAATATTGTTCAAATTGTAATATTGAAGCTAATTCTGTTTAATGACTATTTGAGAAATTCACTGGACACAACAGTAGCGTAAGTAGGTTATTACTGCAAGCTTATAGTAAATAAAGTATAAGTTCATAAAACTGAATAAACCAAAGAATATTGGCTTTCTTCTCTTTCACAAACCCAAGGATTAATAAAAATTAAATGACTCTTCAGAAAATTGGTGACATAACATTCTAATACTTGATTAGAATATTTCTACGTGATTTTGATTATACTCCTGTCTTCTTGAAAAGTTAAGACCCATCATTCACTGGAGCAAAAGTTAAGAAAAGCGTGACAGAGTAACTCCATGTTACCTCTCAAGATTATTGTGATGATAGTGTTGGTGAAAAGCGTTGTGCAGATGTAAGGAATTATTGTGAATAGAGAGAGGAAGGATGTTAGCAGAAGGGAGCATGTGGTTTGGGGTCTAGCTATGGTTTCAATCCTAGTTCACCCTCAGTCATTTCTTAGGTATCTGGCCCAAAGAGGGTCTTAATTTCTATGAAACTCAATTTATTGATAAAGAGAGAATGGTAATATTTAACTCAGTTGTTTTGAGGATTTAAAAAAGATAACTAATATAACTAATATATATAAAGTAGAAACTCGGTAAATTTATCACTTTTCGTCTAGGATCCCAAGGAATGATTCACAAGCATCAGAAGAAACAATGCCAGCCATTGTTTCTGATTTCCAACTGAATTTGACCTTTTATTTTATTTTGTTTTAGCAGTGAACAAGATCTTGATGAACTTATTAACATAAGCCCCAAAGCTGTCAAAAACACAGCCGGGTAAGAGAAGGATGTGATTTATTTACTTTGCTTTGTTTCTCCCCAACTAAGTACAATTTGAATATAAATGACTTGTAATCATTCTATGGGCAAACTGAATATAAATCTTGAAAAGTCATCACAATTTTTATATGTCCCTGAAAACTTAGATATCTATTTGCTAATAAAAAGAAAGGCAGCTCAAGTAAAGCAATTGAAGGGAGTGATTGGGGTAGAAACATAGCTAGTCTATGCCCTGTTTATGTTTTGTAGTGTTGATGTTAATACCTTTGTCTCTGGATTTGGTTAAATTTATTAATGATAGTTAATTTTTTGAAAAGAGCTGGACACCTCATTAGTTGTAAACAATACCATTCACCTCATTTTCAGAGGGTGTTTTCTAGTAGTCAGTGGAAATTTTATGAGGCTCATTATTTCTTAGATGGTTTGCTGCTTGCAGCAAAGTAATGGATCTAAAATTTGATAATTCCTTAAGTAGTATCTAAAATGATGAAAATGAAATTGACTTTTTGTCTCTAGTTATATGAAGATTTTTATATCATTATACACTACTATTATATGTATGTACGTATATATTTATATATATTTAAGAATGTTTTTATGATTTCACTTTTTTGAGTTTAGCTGGTATGTACAAAAATTGCAAAATTTTGGAGATGGAAGGAAGGAACCTCAGAAAACTCATAGCCCAGTTACTATGAACACTTGCAAACCACTGTTCCAGTCAAACCTATTCTATTTACAGAAGAGGAAATTAAGACTCAGAAAGGTTAAGTGATGTGACCAGTGTCACAGAGAAAACTAGTGGAAGACGAATAGTTAGTTCTGTGATCTGTTAGGCGGTGAATAATTACTGAGCACCTACTGGGTTTGAAGCTTACAACTAGGTATCATTAGGTGCACATTAGGTATAATTATAGGCCATGGATGCCAAAAAGAGAATTCAGTAGACATACTCAATCTTATTAACAGCAAGCAATTATCATAGATTAAAGCTAATTATGTACTGGGGGCAAAGAGATGGGACTCCAAGACAATAATAGGTTGTCAATTTAATATATTACATTTTGGGATGCCTATGTACTGCTTGCTGAATATAGAATGTATTGCCAGTGAGTTGCATTTAAAAAGAAAAGAAGACATGAAATAGCTAATTTAATAAACACGACAGGCAGTAAAATTCACATTCATAGATTCCTAGGGGTAGAAGATGTTAGAGATGGGCAGAGGCTTAGAGATGAACAAATCCAATCTCACAGTTTTACAAATGAGAACACTGAGGTATTCGGGGCAAAAGTCTCATAATCTTCTGTGAGTTCTTCCAACTCCCAGCCCAACTCCTGGTCTTTAAATCACAGCATGGAGACTTTGATCTTAAAATAGGTGAAAGTTGATTCAGTACCTCAGGAAATAGTGGAAACTGTAAAGCTAGGACTTTTGCTCTTGCCATGGGACAGCCTGGAGATGTTCTCTACTACTTTCACAGGGTCACTTGAAATATTACTTCACAGTCTTTGAAGTGACAATGGCACAAATTTGTGCCAATGACCGCAAAACACTTTACAACTTTTGAACTACATGAAAATAATAATAGCTAAATATTTCAATGTATCCCTATATCCTTAAAGCAAAATAAATGAAAGCAGTAACTTGAGTAGGAAAAATGTTACATTTTTCCTGGATAAAATTTAGATATAAGATTCCTGTGTTTGTAGGATCCAGGGTCTGAAAAAAGTGTCTATAAGTTTTCAATTCATTAAGTTGCATGATGCTATCAGTCAAGGCAATTCAGGACTATTACTGAGATCCTTGCTTTATTGACACAAGGTGTAGTCTTTTTAAGAGAAGTGGTAAAACATAGCACGCATTTATATATATATATGTTTTCTAAGCTAGTGTTTCTCAAATTGTGGGTCAATCCCATTAAATGGTCTTGTAATTAATTTAGTGAGCGACAGTCAGCATTTTTTCCCAGTTAACTAGAGTGAGGTAGAGCAGAAAACATGAGAGTTCTTATGTAGTGGGTGTCTTATTTTGTGAAATTTATGTTTTATTATGTGTGTGTGTCTGTCTGTCTGACTGAAAACAGAAAGTATTGGGCTGTGATGTAAATTGTATTTTTTAATGAGCTCTATGATGTAGTAGTTTGAATAGCACAGTTCTAAGATTTGGAATGAACCAAGTTTTCTGTACTGAGCAGAACAGTAAAAACAGGAGTTCTCATGTTTGTGTTTGCATTTTTTTACGCAGCTTACTCTTAATTATGCTGGTTGGTGAATATTATATGTAGTTACACTAAAATATTGTGATTGATTTTATGTATTAAAAGGTTGTGGCCTTTGACATATTATTTCCTCTACAAAGTTTTATTTTTTGTACTTTTTCTTCTTTTAATGTATGAAATTATCCTCATTTTAAAGATTGTCTTTCAGGCACAATTTAACTTTGTAACAGGTTTTTGTAATCAATTTATACAAGAAAATCTTATTTTGGACAATTCTCATATGTTTATCATTTCTCTGATAGTGTTTGTAGATACCAGTTGATTATCTTTAATTGAGAATATTACTATTGAAGATAATTCAAAACAGTAAACATTCATTTAGGGGCTTTCTGTCTACCATGGAGATCTGAGAACAAGGATGAAGAGATCAAACTCAGTGAAGCCATGAGCTGGGAAGCAAATTCTATGGAAAGGCTTAGGGGTTGGGGAAGGAAATGCAGACCTTTTTCTCAGACTTTTTGATGACTAACCTCTAAGTGGTTCTCCTTCAGTTCCTAACCTTGCATCAGTCTTTTTGAAGAGTAAACCATACTTTATTTTTATATAAGGGAAAAGGACTTTTGGGGGGAAGGAGGTACAGGCAGGTAGCTGCCAAAGTTTACTGAAAGCAGATGTTATCAATCCCAAGATTTCTTGCTATTGTGGGCTCTTCTGTGAATAAATATTATAAAGCGGTTTAGAGGAACACGTTGAAAAATCACTACTTTCCAGCCCTTAGAAGCAAAATATTATACAGAGGCAGTGAGTGATAGCAAACCAGTTAGGAGGAAATACTGTTCTCTGACTGAGGAAAGAAACTGATAGGGTTTCAACTAGGAAGTGGACAGTTATCAGAGTATGTCCCTAATTTACCATGATTTCAGCTTTTTAAGTCATGGTAGAGGAAAGAAAAGTCACACTTTTGATGGATTACTGGAACTCTCTTTGCCAAGACTTATGTTAAGTATAATCCTAGTTTGGGAGTTTCTTATTTTTTAAAAAAATGGTATATTTAGCTGGTGAATATGATTTTTAAAATATCAAGGACCTTAGAATCAGTTTGTATCTTCATACCGTTAAAACATTCCAGAGTAAAAGTGGTCAATCATGAGATGTTTGCTGTGAACTCTGAGTTAGCGTGCCCTTGTAGATGGGCTCTGACAATAAGCGTGTGAAGTCAGAGTCATTCTTCTCCTGATCCAACATAATTAGTCCTCCCTGGATTGGTTTGAAAATTTATTTCAAGGGGGTTCTATGCCAAACCAATATGTCTTATAGTAAATGATAAACTAGCTAATCCCTTCTGCCAATTCCAGCCAACTTAAACCTGTATTATCTCTAACACAAGCTGCTTTAATTTTTTTTCCATTTGAAGAAATCAAGATCTTGATAAGCTCATCAAAGTGGATCCTGAAACTGTTTCCAACAACCAAAGGTAATAGAACTGTATTAATTTTTGTGCTTTGGGTAGGAAGAATGCTTTGTTTTACAATTATTTCAAGCACATTTAAAACCTTAATGATCTTACCAAAAGTATTTATAATTAACCTACTCGCTTTTTATTTTTCTTTTTAAAGAAACCGGGATCTCAATAACCTCGTCAAAGTGAATCCTGAAGTAATCAGAAGCAATCAAAGGTAATCAAATAAAAACATCATTTCACGTTCTCACGTCTGTTGCCCCTGAGTGGAGTAGATTTATTATATTGCTTTATAGACCTAGCACAAACCAAACAACCTATCACTAATTGGAGTTTATTTTTTTCTCTTTTTCTCTTTTGAACAGCCAAGCTTTGGACAATCTTATTGAAGTGAAACCTTCACCTCTCATAAATACTAAGCGGTAAATGACTTTGCCTAACTATCCTGACATGTCCCCAAGGTTCTAGGTTAGGAATTTCCTTTCTTGCTCGCTTTCTTGCTTTCTTCCTTCTCTTTTTTTAAAAGAAGGCTTTCGTTTTTCTTGAGTGTTCAAATGAGCACACATTTATAACCCGTGTGTTTCCTGTCAGCCGAGAACATGCTACACTCTTCTGGAATCAATTGCACTCTTTTGGACTCAGTTTTGTACTTCTAATTTTCACAAAGACAAGTTAGGGTTTGTTGCCTATAGGAGATAGAGTATCAGGACTGATATGAAAAATGAGTGAAAGTAAATAAGAGGAAAACATATTTTGGAGAAGCTGGACCAAATCGGTGGTTTACACAGATGCCTACAGGGCATTGGAGCATTGGAAAGGATATTCAGTCTTCAAAATTACAGATCCACAGCTCGTGTGGGCTCACAAAATATTCCAGCAGATTTTAACCTTGAACTTCCATTTTGAGTTTTGTAAATATCTTATAATTCACTCTCTTTATGTCATATCTTTCACCAAAAGAGCTTATTGATAATGCACCAGAGTGCGTTGTATGAGAAGCCCAGATTGTTCTGCTGACCTGAAATTTTGCCATAATAAATACATAGCTGGGAATTAAAGTCTCAGTATTCTGGGATGAAGAAAGCAAATTAACATATGGAAAAGTGCTTTGAAGCCACGGGGAGAAAGAGGATAGTGTGACATGCTCATCGGCCTAAATCTTATGTTTTTTGTTTTCTATATTAGTGGTTCTTTTTTTTTTTTTGGAGTATAATTGCTTTACAATGTTGTGTTAGTTTCTGCTGTACAATGAAATGAGTCAGCTATATGTATACCTATATTCCCTCCCTCTTGGACCTCCCTCCCACCCCTCCCCCCATCCCACCCATGTAGGTTGTCACAGAGGACCGAGCTGAGCTTCCTGTGCTTTATAGCATGCTCCCACTAGCTATCTGTTTTACACGTGGGAGTGTATATATGTCAATCCTAGTGTTTTAATTTGCCTTTTCTGTTTGTGTGTTTTTATCACAAGGTGTTGGGGTGTCTGAGGTAGGAAGGTGCCAAGGCAATTGAAGAGCAATTGCTAATTAGAGAACAGTATTTATTGAACACCTCTGGTGTGCCTGGCAATTTATATACATTTAATCCTCACAACAACCAACCCCATGAGAAATATATTCATGCATGCTATTTTATAGAAGAAGAAACTATAGCTCAAAGATATAAAATAAACTTCTCAAGAAAGAAAACACATCTTGAATCTAAACCCAAGTCCTTCTGATGTCACTAGTGGAAGAACAAATGATTGGGAGCAAAAAAACTCAGATTTGCCCCTTCTTTCTGTCCTTTATTCTCCCAACAGTCCCTTCCTTTCTAATTCCCCTCCTACCCCTGCAATTAAAGAACTACAATTAGATACACTTTTTTTCTAGAAAATTATTGTGGAAACGACAGAGAGGAGAGGAAGATTTGTCTTATAGAGATTTTCTAATAACTGAAATAATAGCGGACTTTTGGTGCCGACCCTGCCACTGGTAAGCGTATGGAAATATCTTTGATAAGTAGAACCATTTCTTCAGAGTGGTACTGGTAGGGACAGATTTTTATTTTTATTAGTAACAGTTTTAGGAGGTTCCCAGCCCATATTGGAAGTGGTTAGGTTTAACAAGCACGTATGGAATAACTAACAGTGGCTACTGTAGCCAAATTCTCCCTTAGTGGCTGTTTCCATAAACTGTAGCACCCTCTGTGTCTCTCTCTCTCCCCCGCTCCCATTCCCTCCTTCCTCCTCTCCCTCCCTCCCTTTCCCCTTCTTCTGACTTTTGCCTCCTCCCCTTCCTCCTTCTGCAAATGCACTATGTTGACAGATAATGGTAATTTTCTCATAAGAGTTTTGCCTTTTGTTTATTAGAAGAGGCTAATTTCATAAAAAGTAATTTGTATTTCAGCAACTCCTAACAAAGTATCTATAAGAAGAGGACATTTTCCTTATACAGATAGGATTACTATAAAAAAGAAATTTAAAAATATTGACCATCATGTTGTTTTCAGATGGCAGCCTTTTTTAAGGATTTATTTTTAAACTTTTTATTGAGGTATAGTTGATGTATAATATGATATAAATTACAGGTATATGATATAGTGATTCACAATTTTAAAGGTTATACTCCACTTATAGTTATTACAAACTGTTTTCCATATTATCCATATCATAGAATATATCCTTGTAGCTTATTTTATACCTAATGGTTTGTACCTCTCAATTACCTACCCCTATGTTGCCCCTCTCCCCCTTGCCTCTCCCCACTGGTAACCACTTGTTTGTTCTGTATATCAGAACAGATGGCAGCTTGATCCACAAATCTAACCTAAGTGATGTCTGACTATTCTTTAGTAGTTACACCAGATTTGATGATAATCAGCCAGGATATTCAAGAATTACTGCAGAACAAACAGGAAAGACTAAGCTGCCTATTTATTTGAAAAAAGTGACTTCATTCAATATGTTCAGTCACCTGTATCTGCAATGTATTTATGTGACCCACTTGATTTTAATGGGTAAAGAGAGGGGGCATTTTAACATGACTCCCAGTAGGAATAACAGCCACAAGGCACTTTTACATCCAATTCAATGTGACAGGAGCACTGATTATTTAATAGTATAACAGCAGTGAATCAGAGTTCCTTTTATGTGACTGCTGACATTTCCAGCAGCTGTATATTTAATTCACAGTTAGGGGTGGAATAAATTTCAGTCATGTATCAGAATGTAAGCAGGTGTCCCTGAGCTCTTTCTAGGAACACAACAACTTGAACAAATGCAGATGTGTACAGAATTTTCATTTATTCAGGGAGAAACTGTGAATTTTAGCAATGACAGTTTCACATTTTCATGAACCAACATTAAAGGGGGATATTCAATTATCGGTAGCCTATAAACTGCTGCTCCCACATAAAGATTGAAAAACATCTAGTGATACAGGTCTTTACAGTTAGAAAAGGCAACCTTCATCTGAAGCAGAAAAAATATTCTGAACTATTTGTAGTATTATACGTCCATCTTTATAAGGGCTTCCTATTTGCTAAGACATACCTTGTTAATATCCCAGTAAGAAGTTTCCTTCCTATCTTCCTATTGTATATTTCTCATACTTCTGCTCAAGACAGAAAGCTGGAGGTGGGAGGTAACCTTGACTCTTTCCATTGCTTCATTCCCCATAATCAGTAGGCCACTCTGGATGCTTCTCCTAGTTATCTCAGGAACCGAGACAGTTCATCATCCCAACTGCTACTATAGCCCAGCTTACTGTTAAGTCTCCTCACTGGTCCCTCTGCTGTCTCTCGTACCTTCTGCCCTTCAATCTGTCTGCCACACTGTAGAGTGATCTTCTTAAAACACAAATCTGATCCTGTCCTTACTCTGATGAAATCCTCCAGTGGCTTCACATTGCCACTGGACAACAGTGTACCCCTTAACCTGGTTTCCAAAGCTCGCCATGATGTTGCCTCCACAGGCCTCCCCAGCCCCATTCCCTATGCTCCACCCACAAGCAAAGCCCACCCACACACCCCCTGACATGAACACGCCTCACTCCTCTGTCATCGCAGCTGCATGGATAACTGCTACTTATCATTTAGGTGTCAGCTTAGGTGTCTTTTACTCAGGCTCTGGGAAGCCCAACCTGACCCATCACTTCTGCATCAGGTCCTTCTGGATGTTCTCAAGCTCTCTGTTCTTCTGTCCTATGATATTTGTCTCTTGGAATTATTATTTAATAATCTCTCATCAACTATTGGATTTTTTAAGGGCAAAGATTGGATCTGTCTTGTTCATGTCTTTATCTACAATTCATGGCACAATGCTTGGCACGTATTAGGTGCTTAATAAATATTCTCTGAGTTACAAGCTAAATATCAAAACTAATCAAGACCTGTGATCAGCCAACTAGACAAAGCCCATTGCCTTGTAACTCTAACACTCTGAGCCCCATGAGTGAAACTAGACTGGAGGGATCTGATAGCCTATGACTGGTCTCCTTGCTTAAGCCAAAGACTCTATTTTGAAACATAATCTCAATGAACCATGGTGAATTAGAGCCACTGAAATTCTTGGTCACGTCTTATATTTAAAATACCTAAATTGATCATTTTCTCTATGGACCTGTTAATTTCTTTAATATAAAATCTTTAAGACTCCCTCATTGAAACGAATTATGAAAATATGTAAAGCTGGGACCATTTTGCAAATTCAATGGAGTTGAAGAATTATAGCAGTTATCTCACTGTATTCTACACTCCCTTCAGTGAGATAAATATTCCTTTGAACTAAAGCTTAAAGCCTTAGTTTTAGTTCTTGGCATAAAAGAAGTACCATAGTAAATTTTCTATATGGAGGTTTTCAATTTTGCAAATGTGTTTGATACTCTGCAAAAACGATGTAAGTGAGCTGGAGAGAGAGAAACATATTGCAGCATTTGATAAATACCTCCCTCACCTTCATAAGAGAGGAAGAGCAGTTGGGAGTGAGCTGATAACTTTCTCTCTAGGAAAAGTTGTGTTATAAGAGACGTAATAAGCCTTGGTCCCCAGAATCTCTATTTTTTTCTTTAATCTGCTCTGCGAGGGAGTATTATATTCCTTAATGGGGTAGTAGAAAATAATTTACATGATTATAACATAGATAAATGCTCATATTCAAAATGTGTGCTATGACTCTACATAACAGATAACTCATATCTTCTCCCAAACATTGTGTAGTCTATGTAAAGAAAAGCATTTTCAGTTGCTATGGTTAAAAACATTTCTTTTTAGCATTTCTCTCTGTATCCACAGAGAACTGGTGGTTTTTCTTAAAGTTAATTCCAACTGCTCATAAAATCACAAAATTATAAGGTCTTCCACTGAACTGCCACAGAAAAGGTTTGGAATCAAGCCTTTGTTTGACCCTGCAGCATTTGGCTGGGCTTCTATAAAAATCTATTTT